CACTATTCATTCAATGACTTTGTTTCTGATTTTGTTCCTTTGTTTCAAAAGTGATTATGCTTTTGTTTTGTGGAAGAAAAGGCTTTATTCTTTGTTGAAAATCAGGACATAATTTTAGCCTTATACCCAATCTTAGGATGAGCAAACAGGAACAGATTCACTCAGGATTCAGAGCTATGGAATAATCGATTAGCACATTTGGTAAATCGATTATTAGGCTTTAGCTCAACTGGAAATGTTCAGAGGAACCAGATAGTCGATTGACACTGCAAGACAATCGATTATGTGATGTTGCAGATTTTGAAGAAGAATCAGAGGGCTACAATAGTCGATTATCAAACAATGATAATCGATTATTTACAGGTTCAGAATCAGTATTAGAAGAAAAGAAGGGAAGGAATTATTTGGGTAAAAAAAAGGATTTGAAAAGAAACAAAGGTTTTAAAAGATAATAAGAAACTAAGGTTTGACTTGTCTTCCTTTGATTTCATTTTTGACTAAAAATTGATGGGAAAGACTTTATTTTGAATTAAAGAAAAGAAAGAATACTTTTGGATATGTGGGGAGAGTTGGGGTTTTGGTGGAGCCATCCAGGGGTACATCATAATGGCTAGGCAATCCACAATTGCCTCATGTACTTATAGAAATTGACGATGAAAAATAGAAAAATTGACCTAAGGTCAGATGCCGGGATGACTTGTCGACACCAGAAGAAATTATGGCGTGGCGAATGAAGATGGCGAGCACTCTCCAGCGACTGGATGCCTAGTCGGTGATGCCGTGATGACAGTGTGCATGATTTCTTTTACTGTACACTAATTTAAGGTTCATTTGTGCTAAACACATGCAGTGAATGGTTTCTTTTACCATATATTCCTCAAATACTCGTTTGCATTAAAGTGTTAGTCATTGTTAACTGTAAAGCAAATGCAGTAAATGATTTCTTGTTACTGTATTTTCATTGAATGCTCTCTTCTATCCCTTAATTATTGTCTAAAGGTGGTGTGTTCAAGCTGGAATTGTTTCTCCCTGAAGAGTACCCAATGGCTGCTCCAAAGGTATTCCATTGTAAATAAACTGCTTGAGCATTTTCTTGCAGCTTTTGCAATTTACAGATTTGGCAAGCTCTACTCTTTCCATCATCTCCGATGGAGCCAAAATTTCACCATTTTTTTTTTGGCTTTGGGGTGTGATGGAATAAATCAAAATGGATCTCTAAACTGTCTGCGCTTCTTTAATTAATGAAGTAGCAGTTAGTCAAGCAATGCAACTTTCGACGTTGAGCCGGGGGTCTCTTTGGAAACAGCCTCTCTACTTTCGAGTAGGGTTAAGGTCTGCGTATACACACCCTCCCCAGACCCTACTCTTGTTGGATTTAACTGGGTTGTTGTTGTTGGCAAGCTCTACTCTGTAGATTAAACTACTTTTTTTGTTTCATCAGCATCCTTTGTTTTTCAAATTACTGAATAAATCTTTTGATTTGAGACTGAATCAGTGACTAATTATGTGACAATTGTTTTTTCATATTTAATGCAGTATCTCATATTAACTTCAATTCAACCGGATCATCAACTGAGTGATACTGCAGTCCGCAAATCCTGTTATTTTACATGAGTTCTGTTGGGTTACCACGCTATTTTAATTTTAAAGCATGCTGTCGCTTGTGTGCACTGATTGGAATTTCTTTTATCCTCATTAACTCCCAGCCTGAATCACAGTGTACTTTGTTGTGCACTCATTGCAGTTACTGTTTTGCTCTACACATATAATCACATACTACCCTCCTTAATCCCTATTTCCATGTGGGATATATAGGCTATGTTTGGTTTGGTTTGGTTTTATCTTGATATGAATTATACTCCATATAAGCTTGATGAACTTATTGTGAATGTGGTTTCTTTCATTGATTGCACTTTTAGAATATGATTGAATAATTAGTCAAACATTTCAATTTTTTTCAGGTTCGATTTCTCACAAAAATCTACCACCCTAATATTGATAAGGTTTGTTGTAATTGCTCTTCAACTGTTTTTTTTGGAC